TGTTTATAATTCTGATTTATAACCTGAAAGGGTGATTGCCTTCTATTTAAAACCAGAACCAGTGATGAAATGTTACTTCAAAACTGACAGTTTCTAATATTAATTAAAAATGGTTTGATGTTTATTTCTGATGGTAATTATTTAATCCAATGTGCAAAAAAATCTTAGCTGTTTGCTTTTGCTTGAAATATGTAAGCCAACGCCATTTATACACTTAAAAGATTTTAAATTGATTAATTTAAGTAAGAATACTGAATCTCCTTCATGAATAAATCAGGTGCTACAGGAAACCCAAAAACTTGATGGCCTTCTATTAAGTTACACTAATGTAACTGAAGGAGCAGATCTATTTCTTGTCCTAAATAAAAATTCAGTTCACAACAAATTAAGAATTACTTTGTTCTAGGAAATCTTAGAACTGTTGCACACATGAGAACCTTACAGTTGAGGGCCTTTTTTATCCCTCTGACCACTGGTCCACCCACAAATTCCTGCTGATACAGAGTTCAATGAGCCAACCAAGAGGCGCCTCAGAACTCAGACCCAAGACCACAAGTATTCCTGATGGGATTGCTCATCCCTCACTACCTGTGACTAGTGCCTTGGGGGTGCATAGGGAGCAATCAAAACTGGTGAAGAAACACTTTAGCAGAGCAAATTATTTATCCATAAAACAGTGAAAAACAATGACATTAAAAATCAATAGATGTTCTATTGTCTTCTATTTCTTTGCTGAAAGAAACTGTCAGTGAGTCCTTGGTTGATCAGTATTGCATGTCTCTATCTGTTTTCATGAGAAACCACTTTGAAGATATCAATACATAACGCAACAAGCATTGTTAATTTCCTACCACTTTGTGTGTAACTCTGTATTGTCTGTACTGTTCTTTTGCTATTTTGTAAAATGTTGTCTGTCTGTTAATGTTCTCCTCCTTTTATTTTTAAAATAAAAAAAATCAATAGACCATATATAAATCTAATACCATTCTGTATTTCCAGAACTTGATTTCATACTATGGCAGTATTCTTGGTCAACCACCCACTGCCGTGTTCTGTGTCTGTAAGGAGTCCATTTATGAAATTATTAAAACTGCTTTTTTGACCATAATTCTCATGTAATTGTGAAGAATAGGAAATCAATTGACTCTGTTATTACTTTGTGCAGTACACTCACCAACATGGTGAGTATACAGCAATTAAAAATGGAATAGAAATCTCTCACTTCTAATTTGGACACAGTTCTCAAAATCATTGAAATTCTGAATAATTTGTATTTTTAAAAATTCTTTTTAAAATAAAAAACAGGAGGTGTGCTTTCCGGTCTGAAAAGACAATTTGGTTAGAACTTAGGAAGGAATTTTCCTTGAAAAGTTGTAAGGACACCTAAACAACCACAGCTATGGCGGCCTCCAGCAGCTGCCCCTTCTTACTCTGGGAGTGACCCGCTTCCTGCTGCTGTGTATAATGTTCACTGCTGCTTCAGATCTGTGGCCTTGGCAAAAGCCTTGGTACAGGAGCTGCACATGAAGGGCTTCTCACTTTAGTGCTGTACGGACACTTACAGGGGAGATAGGCAGGGATGTAGGGCATGAAGTTGCTGCTGTGGCATGGGTGACGTGGCAGATGGTTATAGAAATGACCACCTGCCTACTTGAGGAAGCTACTGTTCGTGAAAACTTTGCAGGTATAAAGAAGTTACTTTTTGCGACCAGCCTGCATGCATTTATTTATTGTGTGCTCTTGGACCCTATGATCCTTAGCTCACCTCAGAAACAAAGCCTAAAACTCTGATTGTCCTAGACTACACCAATTAGTGAAACAGTTATTTTTAGGGACACACTTACCTCTATAAGTATGGGCAGAGTAAAGACAACAAGTTGAGAAGCTCATTCGAGCTCTCCCTGTCTTGTGGCCTGGCAGCTTTGTCTCTGCCTCCTGGACTATATAAATAAACCTCTGCTTCTCACTGCTTTGGTTTCTGTTCCTCATCCTCTGCTGGGGACCTTTAGCGGTTCTGAGTCAGTCTCACCCTGGTCTTCCATTCTTGGCTGGAGTGGTGATGAGAGACCTGGAGACACCAGAGGAGGGTCGTTGAGCCTCACTAATCCCTAAAGACCACCCACCTGATGCTACAGTACCACCTCTGCGGTATCTGAGTTGGGGTTTGTGCTTGAAGACTGTCACATATGTGACATGGAAGGGGTTCTTCAAGTCCAGGGTTCAGATGAGAAACCAGCTGAACATATAGCAGCTGTGGTCCTTGAAGCCCAAGTGGACTGCCAGGTGCTCCTTCAGATGGGCCTGAAATTGTCTCCTTGAAGACCTGGATGGCAATCTGCTCCCAAGGGTGACTGTACAGTAGGTGCTCTAACTCCGTGTCACTGGTGGTTGTGATTCAGCCTGGGGTCTGTTCATCTTTCACCCTGTCATCCTATCATTATGTTAAGTTTGAGGGGGCCTGGGACCCCAGATATTTAGAATTTTAAATCTTAAGTTTGAGGGGGTCTGGGACCCCAGATATTTAGGGTTCTCCATGGGCTCTACTTCCTGATGGTAATAATTTAATTTCTGAAACTACTTGCTCCCAAGCTCTTTCAAAATGGCATTGTGAATCCTGAGAGTGGTTGTAGGTGACTTGGGGGGTACCCCCTACTGTGTCATTGGAAGGGCTGTTATCCTGATCTCTGATTTCTTTTGTTTTTGTTTTTCTTTTCTTTTCTTTTTTCTTTTTTTTTTTTTTTTTTTGGTACCAAGAATTGAACTCACAGCCTCGAGCTCACTTTGTAGCCCAGGATGGTCTTGAACTCTCAATGATCCTCCTGCCTCAGTCTCTCAAGTGCTGGGGTTACAGGCATGTGCCACCACACTTGGCAAAATTGACAGATTTTTAAAAGCTAGTTTGGGTATTTCAACCAAAATGAAGAAATCTGTGGCTGAGGGTAATCATACGTGGTGTAGAAATTTCAAAGCAATAAATAATTTAGGGGATCTAGTTAGGTATCAAGGCAGAATCCAGCGTCTGTTTATTAGAAAAGATAGTTTATTTCTGTTGAGTTTTATGGGCCAGCTTAGTATTTTTATTTTTAGTGTAAAATAAAAATGTGTTCTGTTAGAAGGACATTTTCCCCCCTGAACATTCAAACATGAATGGTTAGCAATACCAATATAAAAATTAATGAATGAATAAGCTTTTGTTTTTTCTTTAATAAAAAGAAATAATTTCTTTATGTTGAGTGAAAGTGTGATATAGAAGAGGAAATATGGGGGAACAGTGACATTAAGATGATCTCAGAAATCAGTTAAAAGTTTCAAACTGGATACAGACTCTTAGACAAAGTCCAGTCATCTCTCCTGTGACAGTTTCACCCGGTATATTAAGAATTTTATATATTAATGGACGTCAGGAGCTGAACTATCCTTTTTGTGGCTTCTTCCTGTGTCCTTCTCTCTACACAATGCAGCTGTCTTGGCATCCTTGAGCTTTGGGCTTCTTTATTCCACTAATAAAAAGAATAAGTAAAGAGCTGAGAGATTTAGATATACAATAGATAATTTTTGTCAAGACAGGAGTTGGAAGTGGGGAATGGAAGACAGAATGAGACAAAAACAAACCAAAGAGGTACTTGGGAGAAGTATTCAAAGAAGGTGGGTGGAAGGCAAGAGAGCCAAAGAGAATTTTGATGAGTAAGGTAGTTATAGAAAAGTCCATCTTGGCAGAAGTAGAAAGCAGCCAGAGAAGTATTCTTTTCTACTAGTAAGCTTATTCCCATGAGAAGAAAGGGAAGGGAATCTGAGAAGTCTTTTCTTTGAAGTGGGAGTAATGCAATTAATTATTGCAATGAATTGAAATAGCATAAATTATTGGTATTCTATTCCAAATCATATTATCTCACCTTGTTAACATTTTCTGGATCCTATCACTTTTTAAAAACAATTTATTGGATTTCTTTTGCTATTCTCCAAGAGATTGCCAGCTCTGAGAAACAAAGACCTTGCTTTATGGATTTCAGTGAGTCTGAAGATCTCAGAAATAGTTGAGTCTGTTGGTTCAGATAAGGGACTTAGAGTTACACAGAGGCAGGGCTCTGTGCCCTAAAACATATCATCTCTGTAAACAGTTCACCTAGGATACAGGTATCACTGTCGTGCAGAAAACACAGGATATATTTATATAGTGGGGCCACCAAAGGAAACTATGTTTGGTATTCTATTAGTGAGTTTTCCCTTCCCTGAGACACAGCACTGACACCCACAACATAAAGGAAGAAAAGTTAATTTGGCTCCTGGTTTCAGGAGATTGAGTTCACGGCCATCTGCCTCTAAGGCATAAACATCATGGAGGAAAGGCATTGCAAGAGCAAAGGTGCACAGCTCATAGGGGCTGGGAAGCAAAGCCTGAAAGGAGGAGCCAGGGAACAGATACAGTACGCAAGACCACACCTCCTTGACCCACCCACACACATTAAGAAGTGTGCTCTATCAATGTCCCATGTGGATCCCAAAGCAATCAAATTGACACAATCAAGGTATAAAAATTATAGATTATTGAGTATTCAAGAAATGGTAATGAGAGTCTTTTTTATATAATAAAATTTCTCTTAATAGTACTGCATACATATTTGAAATAATTATCTCCAAAATCATTGCAAGCAATTCCAAGGGATTAGCAACATTTTTTGCTTTCTTAGAGAGGGTAGTCCCTGAGGAAGTAGTCATGAGGGAATCTCTGCCTTAATAACCAGGTTACTGAGACCTGTAATTGAGAATCAAAGTACTTATTCTCCTGTTACCTACAGGTAAGCAACAAGTGCAGTCTCCTTTCTGGAAGTTCAGGTGCCCTTGAGTAAGTAAACAAAGTTCTTCAGTGCAGAAAATGTTACCAGGTCAATTAGAGATCCTAATCCTTTCTTTCAGACTGGGAGGAGAGGGCTCTGAGCTCAAGTCTGCTGTCTCCTATTCACTGGGTAATTGCTCTTCTCAGGAAAATTGGGACAGGAGGCCATAGAGAATATCACTACAGCTCTAAAGGAGGAAGGTGAGTGCCTGGCTGACCATGGTCTGTGATGCAACACGGTGGTTATGGGTTCAGACTCTAAGAGTCAGACTGCCAACATTCATTGCAATGAAGTTCTGCAAGTTTGTGTCTTTGGGCTACATTCTTAATCTCAGTTGTTGCATCTATGCTGTAAGAATAATAGCATTGTCCGATAGCACTTAGAACAGAGCCTCTTACAGAACAGAGCCACTTGCAGAACTCTTAAATAAATGATAGTTTAATAAGAGTATTAAATCTGCAGCTATGTGAACTAAGAGATCTTGGAAAAACATGCTCTGTATCAGTTAAAATAACTTTAATAACTTTAAATAAAAATGGTAAATGAAAACAACAATACAAATACTTCACTTTTTGGACCTTATGATACTGATCCAGTGCCATGGTATCTTCTTCCTCTCAATACAGGAAAGAGGCTCAGGAGGAGAGATCAGAGAGGAAGGAAAAGAGTTTATTTCAACATCTAAAAAACCAAATAGCTTGTTTGTGGTATGGCATCCCTTTCATGAGCATCACCAGCTCTCATTCTGGAGGCAGAATTTATCCTCACATGAAACTCTGCAAGCTAAAGTCACCTGGTAGTTTGCCATCCATAGCAAAGAGGAAAAATTCTCAAACCCAAGTTAAAATATTTTTTGTGGATTCTTTTTTCAAGAATAGGGGATGCATACAGAAGGTTGTTGTGATGTTTCTTTGTTTTCAAGTGGTCCTCTTTTCTTACCCCACAGGTCACATGGGAAAGAGCTCGATGGCAGTCAGGAACTCTTCTGTGACAGAGTTCATCCTTGCGGGCTTAACAGACCAGCCAGGACTCCGGATCCCCCTCTTCTTCCTGTTTCTAGGTTTCTACCTGATCACAGTGCTTGGGAACCTGAGCTTGATTATCCTAATAGCACTGAACTCTCACCTGCACACCCCCATGTACGTCTTCCTCTTCAACCTCTCCCTAATAGATTTATCTTACTCCACTACCATCACCCCCAAAATGCTGCTGAGTTTTGTCTCCAAGAAGAACATCATCTTCTATGCTGGGTGTATGACTCAGCTCTTTTTCCTCTGCTTCTTTGGCATTTCTGAGTCCTGCATCCTCTCAGCAATGGCATATGATCGCTATGTTGCCATCTGTAACCCACTGGTGTACACAGTCACCATGTCTCCCCAGGTGTGTTCACTCCTCTTGTTAGGTGTCTATGGGATGGGGTCTGCTGGGGCCGCAGCCCACACAGGCAGTATAATGAGTCTAACCTTCTGTTCTGACAACCTTATCAATCATTTCATGTGTGATATCTTTCCTATCCTTGAGCTGTCCTGCAATGGCACTTATGCAAATCAGTTGGTGGTCTTTATTGTTGTGGCCATTGTCGTTGGCATACCGACCATCACCATCTTCATTTCTTATGCCCTTATCCTGTCTAGAATACTTCACATTCATTCCACAGAGGGTAGATCCAAAGCTTTCAGCACCTGTAGCTCCCACATGATCGTAGTTTCTCTTTTCTTTGGTTCTGGGGCTTTCATGTATCTCAAACCACCATCTATTTTGTCCCTTGACCAAGGGAAAGTGTCTTCCCTGTTCTATAGCATTGTGGTACCCATGTTAAATCCTTTAATCTACAGCTTGAGGAATAAGGATGTCAAAATTGCCTTGAGGAAAACCTTGAACAGAAAAATATTTTCCTAAGAGAAGAACAGTTTTTGAAAAAGATACAATTTTTTGCTTATTTGTGTCTATATTTTAAAGCACAAGTCAAGTTCCAGGTGTTTTCCTATCTTGTGAGCAAGTGAATTTTAAGTCTTTCTATTTGGCTGACTGTTTAGTGAAGGTCTGTTCTTCCTGACCACTGTTTCATTTCACTTCAACTATTCCAAGATTTATGCAAAACAGTTATAATTAACTTAGTGTGACTGAGTTTTATTAATTATTTAATCTAGCCTTCTCACTTAATAGATATTAGAGATGGAGAAATATACATGTTCCATATGGGCACACATCTCAATTCCAGTCTATTTTGGTTTTAATAAAGCTGTGTTTTCTTATATTGCTATGTTATATTGTTGCACTTATAGATTTCCTTTTGAGAATCTGATTGTATTTACAGTATTGTAACCTCTTTTAACTGATTTTTCAATACTACTTTTTAAAGAGTATAGGAGAGAAGATTTTTTATTAGGATGGTTTTAACCAAATGACAGAAGAGTGCACTAAGATGATGTGTGTATGTCAAGACGGAGTTCTTGTGGGCCACCCTTTAATCTCAGTATATTTAGTTAGGTCTTACATAACTTGATAGGTTACAAGATGCTGAGTGGAAAGTCATACATTATTTCATGACTAAAAGAGTCATAATTTGGAGAGCTCTCAAGAGTTAAATTATGCATTCGAGCCACGGTGGAAAGATTTGCAATTTAGGGCATCACAAAACAGTCTGGAAGTTTGAATGAGTCAGTAAATAATTTTGAGACTCTAGTTAATTATTGAGGCAGCACCCAGCAGCTCATTATTGGAAAAGACAATTTATTTTCATTAAATTTTAAAGGCCAGATATAAAAATTAGTGTATTTACATTTTTACTTAATATTTTTCAGTGATCTAGAAGGGATGCATTTTTTCTGAATATCCAAAGTGTTAATAGGTAGAAATTTGAATTCTAAAAATGAATCAATGAATGGACTTTCATTTTTACTTTGATAAGCAAAAATAAAATATGCTCTATTAAGCTCTCTGTCTCTCTCTCTCTCTCTGTTCCTCTTGTTCCCCCTCCTTTCTTTCCTGTTCTCCTCTCCTCCCTCTTCCCTTCCTCTCTTTCTTTCATCTTTCTCTCTTCTCTCTTTCTCCTCTTTCTCTCTCCCTCTCCCTTCCTCCCTCTCTACCTTTTGAATGGGTATTGAATCCAGAAACTTTACCGTGATATACTTACCCACATCCCAAGCTTTGTCTCATGTTGAGACAGGGTCTCTGTAAGTCACTAAGTTGCCCAGGCTGTGGTTGAACTTGAGATCATTGTGCCTCAGCCTTGCAGGGTGCTGGGATTATCGGCATTCACTATCACATCCAGCTGGCTATTTCTTTATGTTGAGTGAAACTGTCATAAAAGAAGTATGGGGAAAAACATTAAAAAGCAGAAGTATGGGCCACTTTGTCCATTATCACTTTAATGATAGCTTTACCTAGTAATGTTATGAATTATTGGATGTTACAGTTGCTCTATCCCTTTGCTGAAGTGACTTTGTCTTAGACAAAGAATTTTAGGCAGGAAAAAAGTACTAATCACAATATAAATTAGACTTAATACATTTTTAAATCTGTTTCTTAAATTATGCTGCTAAGAAAAATAAAGACAGTTTCTAGAATTTTTTTCAATATATATTTGACAAAAGGCATAGCCAGACTTAAAAATGAGCAAAATAATCAATGTTCATATACATATAAATATATAAGAATATATATCACAATATAGATATCAATAATCAAGGAAATTTAAATAAAATTACTCTAACCATTTCATAGCCACTGAATGGCTAAATTGTTTTTTTTTTTTTTTATGGTACTGGGAATCGAACTCATGACCTTGTGTTTGCCAGGCAGGCGCTGTGCTGCTGAGCTAAATCCTCAGCCCCCCCTTTTTTTGTTTCTTTTTGTTTTTAAATTTGTTTACTTATTTTTCTTCCATTTTTTATTTTGTAGAAAAAAGGTAACACAAAATTTCATAACAAAATAATAGGAGAATAACAATAGTTAATACATTGCATATTGTTATCTTTAAAGTAGTTATTCAGAGTACATGATATGGGCATTAAAATTTCTCCAATTGATATTAGCACAAACCTTCCTTTTCAATGAACTAAGAGACACTAATAGTATAACTGACTTGCATTTTTTCCCCTTTTCTCTTCTGTCCTTTCACCTTCCCCCAGAATAGTTCCTTTCTCCTTTTGAACAATTTCTTCCCATTTCAGAATATCCATTGTACATTTTAGAACTTATTTACTCTACATTGTAAAGAATGTGTAATTTTAATGGTATGTAAATATGCTAAAGTCTTTTGCAAAGTGTTCATGCCATTTTACATGATCATCAACAATAAATTAGAGCACCAGGTGCTCATAAGTTATTATTGTCAGTATTTTAAATTTAACCATTCAGGCTATCATCAAGAAATCAACCAATAACAAATGTTGGAGGCAGGGCTGGGGATATAGCTCAGTGGCACAAGCACCTTCCTAGTAAGCTTCAGTTTCTCACACTGGTGAGACAGTACAGTGTTTACACATGTGAGTCTGATTTATTTCACTTATGAGTATGGTCTCAAATTGAATCCATTCATCTATAAATGTCTCAAGTTTATCCTTCTTTACGGCTGAGTAGTATTCCATTATATAAAAAAACACATCTTTTTTCTATGCATTCTTCAGTTGATGGGCATTTGGATTGTTTCCAAGATTTAGTGATTACAAATTATGCTGCTCTAGATATGGGTTCACATATATCTCTGTGGTATGCTTTTAATTCTTCTGGGAAAATACCCAGAAGGGGAATAGCTGAGTTAAATGGGACCTCTAATCCTAGCTTTTGGAGGAATCTCCACACTAATTTCATCAGTGGTTGTATCAGTCTACACTCCAACCAAGAGTGGAGAAGAGTTCCTTTTTCTCCACAGCCCTTTCAGCATTTATTTATTTTTTGTTTCCAGGAATAAACTCAGGACCTTGAGCTTGCTAGGAAGGTACTTGTGCCACTGAGCTACATCCCCAGCCCCTCCTCCAGCATTTGTTATTGGTTGATTTCTTGATGATAGCCTGAATAGTTAAATTTAAAATACTGACAGTAATAATTTATGAGCACCTGGTGCCCTAATTTATTGTTGATGATCATGTAAAATGACATGGACATTTGCAAAAGACTTTAGCATATTTATGTACCATTAAAATTACACATTCCTTACAATGTAGAAAATCCACTGCTAGGCATTTATCAAAGTGGAATGGAAAAAATATATCCTCCAAAATAAGAGGTTATGGTTATTTATAGCAGCTGAATTTATGCTATGCATAACTCAGAAGCAATCTATATTTTTTTCAACTGGTGAGTTTATTCCTGTCACTGAATACTACTCAGCAATAAAATGCAGTTCACTATTGGCAAACAAATAAATGAAGCTTAAAACTTGATGCTGAGTGAAGGAAATTTGACACAAAGGTGTATAACTGCATAACATTTTTATGGAATTTGAAAACAGGTAAAAATAATGTATAATAACTGAAATCAGGGTAGCAGAACCAGAACCAAGTGTGATGGTCATTCATCATATTGGGGGCTTTTTTGGGTGTGAATCATGTATCTGGATTGAGTGGTGGTTGCATAGGTATGTACACTTGTCAAAAATTAGTGAACTATATGCATAAATTATGTATATTTCATTATGTTCTGATTATATCTCAAGAAGTATTCACATACAAAGTGTAAATGGCCAAGGCCAAGAAACATAAAAAAGAATCCTTGAAACCCTTAAAAATGAATTCATAAATATGAATCCCTTAAACATAACTTATAACCAAACATATATGAATTAAAATAATTCCGTGGTATTGTAACTTCCAATTTTGTAGGAAATATTAGAAAAGACACAGGAAAAGTAATGCTCCTATATCATTGCTAGTAGGAGTCTGAAAAAAGCCTTTTATGAAAACAGTTCGGAAACATCTTTTAAAAAAATCAGTAGATATAGCAATTTAAAACACTAGGAATTTATCTTCAGAAAACTAGTGGTCTAAGTCAGTGGCAAATGAATAAATGCTGCATGACCTCGCTCATGTGAAACCATGAAATGTTCTCATAGGAGAGAGTAGAACGGTGGTTAGAAGATTGTGGGGGATGGTATGGAGAAAAGCAGGTACAGGGAGTTTGTTTAGTGGGCACAAAGTTACAGGAAGATAGAAGAAAGAAATTCTGGTGTCCTTTTGCCTAGCAGAATGATGATAGTGGCAACATACTGAATATTTCAAAATAGTTAGAAGAGAGAATTTTGAATGTTCTCATCATAAAGAAATGATGAGTGTTGGAGTTGATAGACATGTTAATTCCCCTGATTAGATCATTATAGAATGTATACCTATACTGACACATCACAGTGTACTTTATAAGTTATATACTGTACAGTTGTTACGTATTAATGATAAAAGAAATAAAATTTAAAATGGGATTGTTTCCAAAAATTCACATTCATCTCAGTGGTGTTTAACATCATAAAAGTTTGACATAGTGAAGTATCAATGAAGAACTGCCAAACTAAATGATAGCATTCCCATTTAAGGGAGACCATGAAGAACATTACTATTGAAGTTTATTCATATGAAAAGGTAGAAATGATATGAAATGCAAAAAATACAACGTGATCTAAAATCAAATATCTTACAAATAAATATAAACAACATTATGCTCGTAATTTTCTTTTTTATGTTAATAGTATTTTATAATTTTCTAATCTACATGTAGTACTTGTAAAAAATAATTTTTTTTGAGACAGTCTCACCATGTAGCCTAATGTGGCCTCGAATTTGCAATTTTCCTGCCTCAATAGTTGCTAATTGCTGGGATTATAGGCATGCATTACTGTAAAACGTAAAAAATTAATTGTTGAAAGTAAATTCTTGCAAATTGTGTATTCAGTGAATTGTTTTCTG